TTTTTGTTTTATTTAATTTAATTAATATTTTAGGAAGACGTTATTATACGAGACAATTATTGTCTCTCATATATAGATACTTTCTCTTTTTATCTTTATCTAAATCTAATAAATAATCTTTTATTATCATTAGTATCAATTTAATCGCTGAAGATGAATAAATTACAATTTTATTTCAACATTTCTTCCTTCTTCTTCTTCTTCTTCTTCTTCTTCCCTTTTTTTATTTTTTATTTTTATTATATTTTATGAAGACTTTACGAGACAATTATTATCTCTCTCTCTCTCTCTCTCTCTCTCTCTGTTCTTTTTTATCTTGATTTAAATCTAATAAATAATAACTTATTACTGTCAGTGTCAATCTAATCGCAAAAGATGAATTAAATTAAAAGTAACGTATGAGTACTTAACAAAAAATTCGTTTCTTTTTCAAGTGCCAACAGGCTAAGCAATTAATTAAGTATTTCGTGTCGATAACGCCCTCTTCGATGCGTTTATAAATATGCATTGAGATTTTATGAACCTTTCGCATAACGTTCTTCTCTTCTATCTCTTTTTAAACCACCCATCCATCCCTCCTCCTTCTTCTTCTGCTTCGTATATCAATTTTTTCTTGACTACGTCACGATACTTGGTTAATTAATAATAAACTTTGAAAAAAACATGATCAATAATATACACCATTGAAGAAAATATTCGATCATCGGTGCCACGTGTCCTTTAAAATCCATTATATATTCACATTTATTCTAATACACGTAATTCCAATTGCAATTTTCGATAAGAATTATTGCTACTTATGTTTTAACGCAACTGCAGCAAAAATTCCGCTAATGCGCCAATAAAGAGCAATCTTGTTGTTCGCATACAACAACCTTGTTGTTTGCTCACAGCAACCGTCAGGGTTGCGTCAGGATTTCGTCAGGGTTGCGTCAGGATTTCGTCAGAGTTGCGTCAGGGTGTCGTCAGGGTTTTGCAGAGCTGCGTCAGGGTTTCGTCAGGGTTTGGCAGAGTGGCGTCAGAGTTTCGTCAGGGTTTTGCAGAGTGGCGTCAGGGTTTCGTCAGGGTTTTGCAGGGTGTCGTCAGGGTTTCGTTTGGATTTTGCAGTGTGTCGTCTGTGTTTTGCAGAGTTGCGTCAGGGTTTCGTCAGGGTTTTGCAGAGTGGCGTCAGAGTTTCGTCAGGGTTTTGCAGAGTGGCGTCAGGGTTTCGTCAGGGTTTTGCAGGGTGTCGTCAGGGTTTCGTTTGGATTTTGCAGTGTGTCGTCTGTGTTTTGCAGAGTTGCGTCAGGGTTTTGCAGAGTTGCGTCAGTGTTTCGTCAGGGTTTTGCAGTGTGTCGTCAGTGTTTTGCAGTGTGTCGTCAGGGTTTGGCAGATTTGCGTAAAAGTTTTGTCTGGGTTTTGTCAGGCTTGCCTCAGAGTTGCGTCACAGTCTCATCAGGGTTTCTTTCTATGATTTGTCGCAACAATTTAAGGTGTAAATTTGTGCATTAGCGGAATTTTGCTGCGGTGACGTCAACACGTATCTACCGAACTATTTTCTAAATTATTTTTTCATTTATTTCTAATACACAGTTACATCTAATCGTAGTTTTGATAAGAATATTTTGTAAAGTTCGTTTTGAAGTAAGAAAATACGTGAGTTTTTGAACAGATATATGTATATATATTTAAAGAAAGAAAAAAAGAAAGGTAGGAAAGTGTTTGCTGGTGACAAGTATTCCGATGTTTAACAATATTTAAATATTGTCATTTGAAGTGAGTGCGCATAGCCAGTGCGTCGTAGATAAACCGTCCCTTGCTTGCACAGTGCTCTTGGGCTACCGTATATCGTTCTAAGGTGTATTTTACATCATCTCTACTTTACGTGTGTACACACAACCGACTTATTCTCCAAAAGAAAAATGTTTCTTACTAACTTGGAAAACGACAAGATATTCTTTTTCTTCCAAAAAAAAAAAAAAAAAAGAAAAAAATATTCAAAAATTGTTTTCATCCTCGAGATTTATATAATGCGCCAAAAATTATTCATGAATTTTTTTCTATCCATAGTCTACCTTGTTTACCATTTGTATATTTATTATTATTATTATTATTATTATTATTATTATTATTATTATTATTATTATTATTCTTATTAATATTAATATTATAAGAAATATTTATCATATATTTCGACTATAAAGTATATGTATATAATATCATTGTATTTATTATTTATATACTAATATATATACTATTATACTATTTAGTATACTATACTAGTACTAGTAGTATACTATTAGTACTATACTATATATAATAGTTCTTATTAATTATAATTATTAATATTATTATTATTATTATGTATTATTAAATTATAATAATGAAATATTATAATACGCAAAAATAAATTAATATTATTAATTTTAATTAATAAATACTATTATATATAGTATAGTATATATTATATTAAAATAATTAATAACTATAATTATATATATAAAAATAATTTAAACA